GCTAGCGTAGCTCACAGTTCTCGCGAGATCTTCAAATAACCTCCTCTCAGTTTTCCCGCGATTCCAATTCGGTAGAAACTGCGTCTATGCTCTGGCTTTCTAAATCAGCCACACCCCTTCCCGCACCCGTCCTTGAAGCTCCTCCTTCAGCTCCGCCTTACTCCCGGCCGCCTTTGCGCTGCGCGCCTGCGCCAGCTTCCAGTTTGTGCTGGTCCTGAGAGCTTGAGGGGCGTGCGCGCGCGCGCCCTCCCTCCTGTTGCGCGCGCGGTGTCACCTTGGGCGCGAGCGTGGCCGCGCGCGCACGGGACTCGGCGCCGGGGGCCATTGAGTGGCGATGGCGGCGACGGCGAGTCCCGCTGCTGGCGGGATGGACGCGAAGGCCCGTACCTCGCCTAAGTCCGTCAAGTTCCTGTTTGGGGGTCTGGCCGGGTAAGCTCAGGCCCCAGGGATGGGAAAGGAGGATGAAGGGACGGGTGCAAGGAACCGGGCCCGGTTCATCTTTGGGTCTGTTGCAGTGAACCGAGCCGGCATGGGGTCAGCGCGGTCCCCAGGGTATTGCAAGGTCCCTGGTGGGCTGCCAGGATCTTTTCACCCATTGCAGGGCCCCTACTGGGCTGCATGCAGGGTCATTGCATAGTCCCTGTCGGGCCACCTGAATTTCCCAAACCATTGCTTTGCTCTGCCGGGCTCTGTGGAGTTCCAGGTCATTGCGTGGGGCTCCTGCCGGACGACGTGGACTCTCAGGTCATGAGTGCCCACCTCTCCTTCCTGGGTCAGACTGCATGCAGTCCCAGGTCACTGCTTGACCTCCTTGGAGCTGCATGGAGCGCTTTCATTGCATGGCCTCTACTGGATCCCTGAATTTTTCGGACCCATTGCTCCTGGTACATGCAGAGACTTATACACATGCCCACCAGCCTCCTGAATACTTAGTCAGTCGCATGGCAGGCCCTGCCCTTTGTGACCCCTAGTTGCCAGGCTCCGTTGGGCATTGGTAGATCAGGGACACCTGGCCGTTGACTCCACCCCTGTCTTCCTGCAGGATGGGAGCTACAGTTTTTGTGCAGCCCCTGGACCTGGTGAAGAACCGGATGCAGCTGAGTGGGGAAGGAGCCAAGACACGAGAGTATAAAACCAGCATCCATGCCCTCACCAGCATCCTGAAGGCAGAAGGGCTGAGGGGCATTTACACTGGGTATTGGGGCCATTATCACAGGATGAAGGGTAGGGTGTGGTTGGCAGCTCCAGACCTTGGCCTGATGCACTGACCCCTTCACTCCCCAGGCTGTCAGCTGGCCTGCTGCGCCAGGCCACCTACACCACTACTCGCCTTGGCATCTATACCGTGCTGTTTGAGCGCCTGACTGGGGCTGATGGTACACCCCCGGGGTTTCTGCTGAAGGCCGTGATTGGTATGACTGCAGGTGCAACTGGTGCCTTTGTGGGAACACCAGCTGAGGTGGCTCTTATCCGCATGACTGCCGATGGCCGGTGAGTTCCAGGTCTGAGCCAGCCCTCAGACCAGGTCCCTGGAATCTAGAATGAAAGAACTGATGTCGTATCCTAGATCTAGAGCAGAGCATTCACTTGTTCTGGCCTCCCTTTCTTTGTTCCTGTGGGGCAGGGTGGTCAATCCTGACCTTGGCCTCTCCCTGCCTTCCCACCAGGCTTCCACCCGACCAGCGCCGTGGCTACAAAAACGTGTTTAATGCCCTGGTTCGAATTGTCCGGGAGGAGGGGGTTCTCACACTATGGAGGGTGAGTGAAGGGGCTGGAGACTTGGGGGACACGGAGTCAGGTCTCGGGCATTTCTGACTTTTCTCCCACTCTCCCACCCCAGGGCTGTATCCCTACCATGGCTCGGGCTGTCGTTGTCAATGCTGCTCAGCTCGCCTCCTACTCCCAATCCAAACAGTTCTTACTGGACTCAGGTGAGATCCAGAGCTGGGCCCCCAGCTCCCCGCCTGGCCTGGGCCAGCTCCGAGCTGACTGCCACCCCTGCTCCACCTCCCCCAGGCTACTTCTCTGACAACATCCTGTGCCACTTCTGTGCCAGCATGATCAGCGGCCTGGTCACTACTGCTGCCTCCATGCCCGTGGACATTGCCAAGACCCGGTGAGTATGCAGGCCTGGGCCTGGAGAGGGATAGGAGGGCCCCCTTTGTGTCTCTCATGCCCCTACCTCCTCTCCTTCAGGATCCAGAACATGCGAATGATTGATGGGAAGCCAGAATACAAGAACGGACTGGTGAGGAGGCAGGGCTGGGGGCTTGGGCTGGAGGATTGGATGCCCCGGGAGGGCAGTGAGAGTGGCTGGGTAAGAGAGACAGGGCCCCAGAGGCCAGGTCCTAGCCTCTGCGCTCTGCCTGCCTGTCTAGGATGTGCTGGTGAAGGTCGTCCGCTACGAGGGCTTCTTCAGCCTGTGGAAGGGCTTTACACCATACTATGCCCGCCTGGGCCCCCACACCGTCCTCACCTTCATCTTCTTGGAGCAGATGAACAAAGCTTACAAGCGTCTCTTCCTCAGTGGCTGAGGCGGGCGAGGGGCCTGGAGCCAGTGTGCCGGGGCTCCCCCTCGCTCGCTGCTCCTACAGTCAGTGCACCCCCGGGGGGCCTGGACTTTGCTGCCCTGGGCCCCTCTATTTATTTTCCCTCCACAGTGTGGTTCTCTCCTCTGCGGTAGAGGACTTTGGTCTGTCCTACCCCTGCTCCAGCTTGTCCTGATCCTCATGACCTCTCTGTCTCTGCCGGTGCCTTGGGGGGAGTTGGGAAACTCCCTGAGGATTTCTGGCCTCCTCTTGGGTTTTAGTTTGAGGACACATAGGACAGCAGAAGATCCCCCCTTCTCAGTGGGGAAACTGAGGCAGAGCTGAGGGGACAGGAGAGAGCAGAAGCTGTCAAGATGGTCAGAGGGTCTGCAGTGGGTGGACGTGGCCCTTCCTCCACCTCACTGAGGACATAATCAATAAATTGGATTGATGATACCACCCCAGATCTGGAGAGTTGTGGGGGCAGGAGGGGGAGGAGACTGGACAAAGAAGCAGATGCCCCTGAAGAACAGGAACTGGAGTTTTTAAGAAAAATTATTAAAGAACAAGCACCCGCTGCTTTTATGCAAATGCTGTGTAAATGAGTCTTGTTGCAGCAGCTGACAGGGTGAGGAAAACGAAGACTCCACGCCCTGTGTGCTGCTTCAGACAGACGCACAGGTCATCTCATGTAATCCTGGCAAAAGCCTCTGGGGTCTGGTGGCTGCTTCTGCAGCCTGAAGAGGGAGGGGCTAAAGAGGCTCTGAGGGGAAGGCTGACCTGTGGGAGCGGAGGGGCAGGGCCCCACAGCCTGGAGGCTTGAGGAAAGAGAGAGTGTTAGAGACTTGATCTGGGCCCCAGGCTGCCTTACCTGTTTCTTTAGAAGGAGGTGTGTGATTCCCAGGGCCTGCTCTCAAGGAGTCTAAAAACCTCTTGGGGCATAAAAGGGCATGGGAAGGTCGGCTGGAAGGAGGGCTGGGCAGCGGGAGGCCCAGAGGCTTCAAGCCAGGCCAAGGGACAGGCAGGCAGCAGGTGGGAGCTGCCCCCTGGCCAGGGCCTCGTCAGTAGAAGAGGTGGAGCCTCGCAGCCTGGCATCCCTGCTGGGCCCTTCCACCTCTGCGTCTCTGCTTACCCCCTCCGTGCACATGCTGGCCTGGGCCGTAGTGGCCACTTTGAGACACTTGGAGCCTGGACCTTGTCCTTAAGGAGTTCCAAGTCCAGAAGGGAAGATGACACAGGAGCAGCTGGGGACCTGGGAGTGTAGCAATAGACGGTTGCAGGGTAACTTGGAGCACCTAGCCCAGCCTGGGGGCGGAGAGATCTGTGCATAGTAGCAATTAGGCTGGTCGGGAAAGGGTTGGGGCCACACCTCTGGCTGACGTGAGAGCAAAGTCTTAGAGGAGAACTGCTATGGAAGAGGTGATCTGTGCAGTTGGCGATAGCTGGAGCACACGTCACGTCTGTCAAAGCGGGACTGGTAGATGGGGTCAGTGAACAGAAGTCCTTGATTGCCAAGTTCAAGAGTTTGTGCTCTACCCGGGGAAGAGTTCAAAGCAGGAGAGAGACACAGTCAGGTTTTCAAGGTAGGAACATTCTTCCAACACCGTCTGGAGGAAGGAGTCTCTGTGGAACCAGAAGGGCTCAGCCTTCACTCCCATTCTCTGGGCCCCAGTCCTTGGTTTGGGCTGGAGACGAGGCAGGAGAGAAAGCCCCACCCAGCGTGGTAAAGGGAATGGCAGAATCTATGGCACAACAGAGAGCAGTGGGTTCCATTTGCCTGCGTCCTAGCTTAAGAGCAGGAAACCTGAGACTATTCAGTAAAACCCACCAAGATGGCACACACTGCCAGGCCCATACCCTTCTCCTGTCCCTCTGAGCTGGGCAAAGCAGGAGAGCTGCATTTCTTGAGGCCACGGGTGTGAAGAGGCACCCACCTTCTCTCCTAGTACTGCAGGCAGGTAGGCCTCAGCAATGTCACTAAGCTCCAGGGAAACATGGTTCTTGAGCTGGAACTGGGGTTTGGGGTGGCCTGGTGGGTGGTCACTCCTGGAGGAGAGGAGACACCCAGGCAGGGGAAGTGCAGGCTGGGACTAGAGCTGTTTTCGTGAGTAGTGCAAGTAGGGTGGGGGCAGTTGGGGCCTTGAAATGCTGGTGACAGGTGCCCCAGCCAGTCTCCTCCAAAAGAAACGAAATTTTCTTTTTTAAATTATTTTTTATTATACAAATAATATATTATGGTGGAAAACCAGAAAATGCTAAGCAGAGGAAAAGAAAAAACTACCCATATTCATCCTACCCAGAGACAGTCAAGGCTCACGTTTTGATAAATCTCTTTCTTTTTTCGATACACAGATACATGTCGGAACCACGCTCTATTCTATTTATTATTTGCTTTTTCCTAAAACTTCCCAAAAGTAACGGTAGTTATCTAGTGGTCTGGGGGAAAAAAAAAAACAAAACCCATGCGGCCTTGGGAGCTTTGTTCTATGACCCACCCAACTCTTCCATCTCACTCCCCCTCCTGACTTGCTGGGTCTGGGGTTGTGTGCCTGTGGTGTGAAGAGGAGGCTTCTGATAAAGGAAAATTAATTAAGACCTCCCCCTGATCCTGTGCTCCTTACTCTGCCCCCCCCCACCCCAGCTAGGTCCCAATAGGAAAGCCCATCAGAGCCTCTCTCAAGGTCCCCAAACCACCCCCCTCAGAGGCTGTGGCCAGAGTACCTAATGCCAACTGTACCCAGCAGGTCATGACCACGACCCAGACTCAGGGCTGAGGGCCGCCGCCCTGCCACCAGAGGCCCCACACGGCCATTAGGCCGTACCCACAGGAAAAGGCTGGAGCGGACAGTGGGGAGTGACCCTCGATGGAAAAGCAGCCAGGCCCGGGCCACAGTCACTTGCTTTCCCCTCTGCAGCTCCAGATGTGTGGTGTGTGAGGCTGTGGCCAGGGCAGCAGACTGACCAAAGTCCAGGGCCTGAGGTTTCACGTGCTGGACCCAGGATGAGGACCACAGTAGCAGGATGAGGACCACAGAGGCAAACAGGAGCCAGAGGAGAACCAAAATGTAGAAGCCCAGGGGGAGAAGGCAGCAAAAGTCAGGGTTGAGAAAAGGGTCATTTCTGGAGCTATCTAAATTCTCTTGAGCCGCCTCATGGACCTTCAAGATTTCAGATTCAGGGATGGGTTCTAAGGTAGCAGAGACTGAGGTGAGTTTTGTGGTGGTTGGGGTGTTGGTGGGTTCAGTAGTGGGGTTTGGAGTTTTGGAGAATATGATGAATTCCGTGATATTTGGCAATGTGGTCTGTTTGTTGGTGGGTTCAGTAGTGGGGTTTGGAGTTTTGGAGAATATGATGAATTCCGTGATATTTGGCAATGTGGTCTGTTTGTTGGTGGGTTCAGTAGTGGGGTTTGGAGTTTTGGAGAATATGATGAATTCCGTGATATTTGGCAATGTGGTCTGTTTGTTGGTGGGTTCAGTAGTGGGGTTTGGAGTTTTGGAGAATATGATGAATTCCGTGATATTTGGCAATGTGGTCTGTTTGTTAGTGGACTCTTGGGTTGGGGTCAAGTGGGGCGTTTGGCTGTGTAGAGGAGCACTAGACGGTGAGTAGAGTAGGCCTTGGTGGGTTGTATGGACTGCAGTATGGACTTCGGTGTTAGTAGAGAACCTGACCACAGCCCTTGTGGTAGTCACCTTACCACCATTCTGGTCTTCATTGCCATATTCATCATAGTCGAAGCTGTTCTCATAAGAGTTGGGGCAGTCCTTCCCTGGGTAGTCGATGACGGGTTTGTCATCACATCGTACACTTTTCACATTGGGGGTCATGGCCTTGACATCCGTACCATTTTTCCATAAGTAGACATTTTGTTCGTTGAGGTCTAGCCAGCGCTTGAAATAGAGGATCTCGCAGTTGCATTCCCAGGAGTTGTTGTGCAGAAAAACAAAAGGCAGGAGGAGGGTCCCAAAGAAGTCCTTTGGTATCGTGTGCAGCGAGTTCCCTTGGAGGTAGAGGGTGTTGAGTTCTTCCAACCCATTCAGGAGCTCAGGGGGCAGCTCCTGCAGCTCGTTGTCAGCCAGATTGAGCTGCTTCAGCTGGGCTGTGGGCCCCAGGAGCCCAGGGGGCAGAGTCTTCAGCTTATTGCCACGCAGGGAGAGCTCAGCGAGTTTGCTCAGGCCATCCAGGGCACCAGGAGACAAGGAGGTCAGCTCGTTGAAGGAGACCTCCAGGGTAGTGAGTGCTGGCAGCGCTCGTCCTAGCAAGGGCAGGCTTTTCAACTTGTTATGGGATATATCCAGGGTATCCAGCAGTGGCAGCGTCCCGTCAGTCTGCAGGCTGGTCAGCTGGCATTTAACCAGGTACAGCTGAGTGAGGCGAGTCAGAGGCACTAGGGACGCCGTAGAGAAGGTGCCCAGGGGGTTCTCATCCAGGTGGAGGATGTCTGTGTCGTTTCGCAGATCTGGAGGCAGCTTCTTCAGCCCCCGCTTATCACAGTTCACTTCCACCTTGGCCACTTCAGAGACGTTACAGATGGATTGGGGGCGTGAAGGGCTTGGCAGCAGGAGCAGCAGGAGGAGGAGAGGCATGGGGACCTGTGGGCGAAGGGGGCTTGAGTGGGCACCCCACTGGCCCCCGGCATTATTCCCCCAGGCCCTAGACCCAGCTGCTGCCTCCAGGATCCCTTCCAGAAACTCAGCTCCCACGCCTCTCAATCTCTCCACTCCCCTCTCCTACCCTTGCCCCCAAAAGCCTAAACTGCCAGTTCTAGTCCTTGGCTCTTATCCCTCCCTCAGACCCCCCACCTCCCCCAGCCCCAACCCCAGCTTACAGGCAGGCAGAAAGACCTCTGAAGGCACAGGGCTTCTTCCAGGGTGTGACTCGGTTCTTCTCTCTTCCAGCTCCAGGGAAGGCAGGAAGGGGGTGGGGACGGAGAGGAAATGCCAGCCTGATAGGGGCCTCTGTGACCTGGGGAACAGTCTCCCTCCCGGACACAGGCCCTTATCACCTCCTTCCACAACTTTCCCCTAAGCCCTCTTTTGGCTCTTCTCTCTCCCAGTTTCCTTCTACAGTGGAGAGATTGGGAGCAACTCCTCCAACCACCACCCTCGTCTAGCTCTTAAAAACCTTTCCAGCTGCCGCTCTCACTTCCCCTTCACAGCTACATTCTTAGAGTTATTTTAATAACTAATTTTAATCCTCATTCTCTCTGCCTTCACTCCATTCTAGGCTGGTTGCCCCCACACACTCCATCAGCTTAGTTCTTGCCAAGGTCACCAGTGCCCCCTACTCCTCTGTATCTGCTGGACACCTCTCCATGATGATCTTACTGTTTTCTGCAGTCTGCATCCCCATGGTCTCTCCCACCTTGGGACTCGTGACAGGAATTTTCTTTGTTTTCCTCTTACCTCTCTGGCTGGCCCTTCTCAATCTCCCTTGTGGATTCCTCTTCCTCTGCCCTTCATGAAAAATTAAGCTTCCCCCAGAGTTTGGTCTTTGGCCCTCCTCCTATGCTACACAAACACCTGAGGTTATCCTCATCCATGCCCTTGCCTTCAACTACCAGCTCAACCCCAGTGACTCTCAAATCTTGATCTGTAGCCCAGACCCCTCTCCTGAGACCCAAACACATATATCCCACTGCCTTTTGAATTTCTTGGCTGTCCCACAGGCACTAAAACAATATGTTCAAAACTGAGTTCATCATCACTCTCCACATAGCTTATCCTCCTGTGTTGTCCAGCCTGGTAGATGGTACCATCATCCACACGTTTATCTAGCCATTCAGTCAATACAAACAAAATCTTTGATAGTCATCCTTAATGCCTCCCCTCCTTCATCCTCACATCCAACCTGTCACCAAGTCCCACTGATTTTGCCTCCTAATCTCCCTCAAATCCACTTCTTTCCATCCCTGCTGCCACCATTCCTGGTCCAGGGTGCCATCTTCTCTCCACTGCTTCACTGCTCAGCTCTCAGCTGGTCTCCCAACTTTCTGACTTCCCTTCTTCTCCCCATTCCCCACTGGAGTGGTCTTTCAGAACTGCAAATTTGCTCACATCGTTCCACTGCTTAAACTCATCAATGTCTCCTTATAGCTCTCAGGAGATCCCGGGCGCGCACCAATGCACTGCTTGTTAAGCCATGCTGTGGTGGCGTCCCATATAAAATAGAGGAAGATAGGCACGAATGTTAGCCCAGGGCCAATCTTCCTTGGCGAAAAGAGGAGGATTGGCAACAGATGTTAGCTCAGGGCTAATCTTCCTCACACACACACACACACACACAAAAATTACATTGGCTACTTCACAGACTTCTCAGTGAGGCCTAGAGAACCAGACTTGGAACTGTGTAGCCAGTAACAGTGCCCAGAATGAGGCTGCAGAACCAGTCTGGTGAGCAAAACTCTTCTCCTGCTGCAAAACCAGGTCACTGAAGCTTGAACTGCTCTAGGAACTCAGTGTTACCACAACCTCCCTGTTGCAGAGAGAGAATCCTGCACTGCCCCTACTCCTTTGTGATATCATCTCCTGATTCAAAGTCTGGGTGTGAGTCTGATTGGTCATGTTCCTCTGACCCAGCTGCAAGGGAGTCCAGGAAAGCAAGTATCTGGCATTTTCAGCTTCTGTAATAGGAGGCATGTTCTGCTTCTCCAAAGATTCCTAAGTTGAAAGATTTTGCAGACATAGAAAAGAGATTCATATGCTTTGGCACCTACTGAAATGATACTATGTTTTACTTTCTTCACGTGTCAATGTCCTGAATTTTTTCTAATTTTGCATTTTTGAATGCTTGGAGTTAACCCTAATTGGCCATTATCAATTATTCTTTTAATATAATTCTAGGTTGGCTTTCTCACATTTTATTCAGAACTTTTACATCTAAGTTAGAAAATAGGAGTGACCCATAGATTTCTTTTGAGGGGCTTTGTCATTTTCTGTTTGTTTGTTTTGTTATTAGACTTATGCTGGCCTTGTAAAATAAGTTGGAAGATTTTATATTCTCTGGAAAAGTTAGAGATCATAGGGATTTTCTGTTCTCTGCAGGCTAGGTGGAATTCACCTATAAAACCATCTAGACCTGATGCCATTTGGAGAATAGCTCCTTGTTGGTTTTTTTTTTTGTGAGGAAAATCAGCCCTGAGCTAACATCCATGCCAATCCTCTTTTTTTTGCTGAGGAAGACTGGCCCTGCGCTAACATCTACTGCCAATCCTCCCCCCCCTTTTTTTTTTTTTCCTTTTTCTCCCCAAAGCCCCAGTAGATAGTTGTATGTCATAGTTGCACATCCTTCTACTTGCTGTATGTGGGATGCCACCTCAGCATGGCTGGACAAGCAGTGCGTCAGTGCGCGCCCGGGATCCAAACCCGGGCCGCCAGTAGCAGAGTGTGCACACTTAACCGCTAAGCCACGGGGCCGGTCCCGGGGAATAGCTCCTTGAATACCTTTCCAATTCCTACTATAATTATAGTAGGTCTGTTGAAGTTTCTACATCTTGAGTCAATTTTGGTGATTGACATTTTCTAATGAAATATCTATATCATGTGGCTGTTCAAATTTATTATTGCAAGTTTGAACATTTATACTTTTATCCTTCGTTAAAATCTGCATATCTGTAGTTATGACCCCTAATGTTGTTTATTTGTATTTTCTCTCTCTTCCTTTCTCCCTCCCTTTCTTTCTTTCTTCATCAGACTTGCCAAAGATTGGTCTGTTTTACTGGACTAGTCAAACTAGATTTATTAGTCTTACTAGTCAATTGCTGTGTTGTTTTTTTTTTTTGTATTTATTTGATGACAAACGTCTACTTTTATCTTTAATAATTCCTCATACTTTGAGCTTATTTTCATGTTCTCTTTCTAGTTGAAATCTTGAGTTGAAATCTTAGTTCACTTATCTTCACTCCTTCGTGCTTTGTGCCATCTCACGTGTTTTACCATGTAATACCTGAGGTGAATATTTGTAATTTTTTTATCCAGCATCCATTCCTCTTAGGTAAGAGGACCCCAGTTTCCTTTTGGGGGATTATACCTCCCCAAATGAGTGCAAACTTGATGGGACTATAGAAGTAGGCACTCTGCCTCCTCACTTTGGAAACCAAAATGTCTTTGGAAGTTCCTTCCACTAGATCTTTCTTGTCACCACCTGAGTTCAGCCCAGAGATGTGACCTAATGATAGACAACTATACTCTTTCTCCTAGGATTTCAAATGGTGAATGAGGTGACAAGAGAAGAGAAAATAGAACTGGACTTCCTTCATTTCAACAAAGTGCTCAGGAAAAGCTGTAGAGTGGTTCCTGCTACTAAGGCCCCCAGAGCCGCCTGATTTCTGAGCAGTCCTAGATTGTCAGTTTCTCTTACACCCCAATGAGCTCCTGCATCTTTCCAAGAAGTTTCCATTGGATTAAGTTAGGTAGAGTTGATTTCTGTTGCATGCATCCGAAGAAATCCAATCCAGTACTCTAGTTGTGGTTCATTTTTAAAGAGTTTGTGCAGAAGACATTGGTTGGAGGTCTATTCAAGATCCATTCAACTTTTTCTCCTTTTTTTGATAAATTACTCCTACCCATCCTTAGAATTTTTGATAAGAATGACTCTATCCCAGCTGTATGAGTGGACCTAAGCCGGTCACTAGATTCCCTCTCCTTTAACATAGTTTAGGGCCCAAACAAGTACCCTGATATAAACTGGTCAGGGTATCCCATGGTCAGAGTGATTGGTCCAGGGACAGAAACAGGAAGTAAGTTGGTCTTTTCGTAGTGAAGCTCAAGACTTCTCTTGGATGGTTGAGGTATACATACTTTTTCTGGATGTGGACAAGGAAATATGTAACCCCAGGTGAACTGTTGGCATCCATCTTGTGTTCACAAGGAGATCTGGCCTTAGGATGAAGCTAACGTCAGGGAAGGTATAATGAAAAAAATGGGAAGAAACCAAGTCCTTAACATCACTGAGATGCTGTATCAAACCAATTCTGAAGTTCAGTGAGCCAAAAATCCTTTTATTTTTTAAAAAACCAATTGGTATTGAGATTGTTGCTTGCAACATAATGAGCTTTAAGAGATAAAGATTGTATTTTCCATTTTTATTTTTTTTAAGTGAAATTATTTACAAAGGTAATTTTAAAATTTCAGGTGGATTTTTAAAAATTAAGCTTTTTATTTTGAGATAATTATAGATTCACATGCAGTTGTAAGAAATAAGACAGAGATCTTGTGTACCCTTTACCCAGTCTTCCCAAATGGTAATATCTTTATCACAACCATGATATTGACATTGGTCTGTCAAGATACAGAACATTTCCAACACCATAAGGATCTTTAATGTTACCCTTTTATAACCACATCCATTTCCTTCCTACCCCCACCCCTCTTAACCCCCTGACAACCACTAATCTGTTCCTCATTTCTATAATTTTATTATTTCAAGAATGTTATATAAATGGGATCATACAGTATATATGGAATTGTTTTTTTCACTCAGCATAATTCTCTGGAGAGTCATCCAGGTTGCTGCATGCATCAGTAGTTCATATCTTTTTATTGTTGAGTAGTATTCCATAGTATGGATGTACCACAGTTCGTTTAACCATTCCCGAATTGAAGGATTCTGTGCTGATTCCAGTTGTTGGCCATTACAAATAAATTTCCTATAAATATTAGTGTATAGATTTTTGTGGGAACGTAAATCTTCATTTCCCTGGGAAAAATGACCAGGAGTGCAATTCCTGGTCACATGGTAGTTGCATGTTTATTTTGGGGTTTATCTTTGGGTTCATCCTGTTTGGGGTTTGCTCATTTTCTTGCATGTGTAAGTTAAAGTCTCTTGCCAAATTTGGGTAGTTTTCAGCCGTTATTTCTTTGAGAACTTTTTCAGGCTCACCCTCTTTCTCCTCTGTTTCTGGGTCTCTGATGACACAATGGTAGATCTTTTGTTATAGTCCCACAAGTCTCTGAGATGATTATTTTTTCAAATTTATTTTCTCTGTTGTTCAGAATGGGTGATTGCTATTGTTGTATCTTCTAGTTCACTGATTCTTTTCTCTGTTCCCTCAATTCTGTTGTTTAGCTCATTCACTGTGCTTTAATTTCAGTTATTATATTTTCAGCTCTAAAATTTCCATTTGCGTCTTCTTTAGATCATCTATTTCTTTGCTGAAGCTTTCTTTTCATTTGTTTCAAGAATATCATAATTTGGGCCGGCCCCGTGGCTTAGCGGTTAAGTGCTCACGCTCTGCTGCTGGCAGCCCGGGTTCGGATCCCAGGCGCGCACTGATGCACCGCTTCTCCGGCCATGCTGAGGCCACGTCCCACATACAGCAACTAGAAGGATGT